GCCACAATGAGAGGAGTGCATGTATCACTGTCATTTGTAGGGTTGTAAATGGAGTCCAGAAGGAGGTGGGAGCAAAGCAAGGGAGGCATATAAAACCATGGGTGAAGATTTTAAAATGTGGATTGGCATGGACTGGAAGTTAATGCTTTCCAACAAGAAAACATGAAACAAAGTCACCAACAACCTGGTTAAATCAGACTGTTGTCAGCAACAGAGATGGTGTCAGAAGCTAGGAACAGAGTTTGGAGTGGGAACTCAAAATAGTGCCCACACAGTCTTCCCAAAAGAATGACAAGCACCGCAGAGGTTATTAAACCAAAAACTAAATTGTGATGAATGGGATGCTGCAGCATCAAAAATTGAATTTATATAGCACCTTGAACATGTTATCTGTACAGATGGCAGTCAGTCTTGGAAATAAACTTAGTTTGAAATGAAACATAAATGAAGGTGCAAAGTTGGGGTAATGGAGAGTTTTACAGAGGGAATGATAAAGCTTCAGGCCTGTCAAGTTTAAGGCATGGTTGCCAATGGTGCAGTCATAAATAATTCAGATGAGAATATAGGAGGCATGGTGACACCAAAATTGATGGCACAGTGGACAGTGAAGAAGGTTGTCTAAGAGTACAACAGGATCTTGATCAATTGCACCAGTGGGCCAAAAAATGGCAGATGAAGTTTAATTCCGTTAAATGCAAGGTATGGCGTTTTGGTCAGACAAACCAGGGCAGGACTTACACAGTTAGTGGTAGGGTCCTGGGAGTGTTGTCAAACAGAGAGACTGAGGGTTGCAGGTACATAATTCCATCAAAGTGGCACAACAGGTAGACAGGGTGTTGGGCACACTTGCCTTTGTCCATTAAAGCATTGAGTGCAGGAGTTTGGACATCATGTTATGGCTGTGCAAGACATTATGAAGGCCACATTTGGAATACTGCCTACAATTGTGGTTGCCCTGCTATAGGAAGGACCTTCACCAGCTTGTCTACAGGGTGTACTCCCTGTACACCCATGACATGTAGCCAAATTCGGAATGAATGCCATCTACAAGTTTGCTGACAACACCACCATGTTAGGACAGATATTAAACAACGATGAGTCAGAATACAAAAAGGAGACACAGGGCTTGATGATGTGGTACAATGATAACAACATCTCTCTCAATGTCAGCAAAACTAAATAACTGATCATTGACTTCAGAAAGAAAGGGGGAGAACATGACCCCATCTACATCGACGCAGCTGAGGTAATGGTCAAAAGCATCAAGTTCCTCGGAGTGACAATAACCGACAATATGTCTTGGATTTCCCACGTAGATGCAACAGTCAGAAGGCACAACAGTGTCTCTTCTTCGTCAGGCAGCTCAGGAAATTTGGCATGTCCATAAGGTCCCTCACCAACTTGTACAGATGCATCATAGAAAGCATACTGTCTGGGTGCTTAACGGCCTGGTACGACAACTGCTCTACCCGGGTGGAGAAACTAAAGAAGGTTGTGTGCACAGCCCAGACTATCACGGAAGCCAACTTCCCACCCACGGACTCCGTTTACAGGTCTTGTTACTGCTGAAGGGCTACCATCATCAAAGACCCATCCCACCCTGGTAATGCTCTCCTATAACTTCTTCCATCAAGCAGATGCAAAAGCTTGAATTCATGTATCAGCAGGTTCAAAAACAGTTTCTTCTCTGCCATTATTAGACTGATGAATGGACTCTCTAACTTCAAATAATGTTGTTCTTGTCAATACTGATCTTGCCTTATGTACGTCGTGTGCAGTGTAACCTGTGTACCTCACTCTGTCCTAATTTTTTTCACCCCATGTCCTTGCTTACTACAATCTGCCTGTACTGCTCGCAAACAAAGCTTTTCACTCTACTTTGGTGCAAGTGACAATAAATCAAATCAAATCAGCTGAGAAGCGAATGATTTAAATGGGCCCTGTGGGGCAACTTTTTCAAACAGAGGAATGGTGTGTGTATGGAATGACCTGCCAGAGACAGTGGAAGACACAAGTACAATGATAGCAAAAGTTTAGAGGGATATGGGCCAAGTGCAGGCAAATGGGACGAATTCAGTTCCAGAAACCTGGTTGGCATAGATTAGTTACACCGAAGGGTCTGTTTCTGTACTTTTTGATTTGAAGATTTGATGTGACTATCCAATTGTCTGAAAAATTCCCACATTGTTATGTCCCCCTTCAATTTTGGTGAATGGAGTTTTGATTACCCATATCCTCCTTATGCTTTTTATTTGTATCATTCTGATTAGCCCTTCTTTTTCCATTTCAAGGAGATCCAATTGTGACTTTGTACTCTGCAAGACCCACTGTGCAGTTGATTAGAACATAATATGTGCGCTTTCATTCTACTCGACAGCAAACTGCACAATGTACTGAAATTTTGTGCCTCTTGCATCCATCACAGAACAAAGGAGTTTCAGGCTGATAATAATCTATCTTATGTAATACAGCAAAAATGAATAAACACCTTTGATTTTAAGCTGTTCTTTGGAAGCATTCACATAAAAGCTGATTTATTTAAGACCGTTCAGTTGCCTAGTCAGTAGTCTTTATTGATCCATGTTTATCTATAACTACTCAGATAATTTGCTACCACATGAAGTGGTTCAGTCAAGTAGTACAGATGCACATAAGGGAAAGCTCAATACTCGAGAGAGAATAGAACGGATACGTTGGCAGGAATGAGGTGAAGCAGGCATGGCAGGAGGATAATATGGTACATAAACACTAGTACTGATCTGTTGGGCTGAATGTTTGATATGCCTGAGCTTTGGGCCAGTTCTTTATTCATATATAGAATTATAGGCTTCATTTATCACATTGGTATTGCCATTTGTCAGGATATAAAAGAGCATTTATGAAACGCTGTCTCTAATCACACTGATTATAAATGGGCTTACTCTCATCGTGGAGAATAGAGGGAACTGTCGAAATGGGGTCACCAAACCTTGCACATAAATTTCTTGAAGGAATGAGACATATCAATCATTCCCTCACTTAGGGCCAAACGTCCCTAGCCTCGACATTCAAAAAGAATGATTTATTTAGCAATTTCTGCTGGGAATCTACCGTTATAACTTATTACTCCAAGAATCAAACAGTGCATCTAGTTGTACTGGTCTGGAGCCTTCCACACCGATGTGCAGATCACAGTGACAAATCCTGATGCTGGCCTGACATTGTGTCCCTGAACATAGCAAAGATTCTAATTTCAGTTCACACTTTTTGTTTTTAAATGTCTCGCATTCCATTGTTTAATGCCATATTTTAAAAACTCTCACAATGTATATTTTTCTTCAAAAGCAGTGGTACCCTTTTCATGTAAGTAAATAATATTCTGAAAGCACAAAAGACCATTAAGTGTGACAGGCAACAGCGAAAAAAAAGTCAGAAGTTTTCACCTATTTGTCCAAAGAACCTTGAAATTATAATGAATCATCAGACACATATTGGAGAAGAAGTCTGCAATGATAACAGTGATTCAAGTGTCCGCTGTTTAGGTTAGATAAATAGAAAGATGGGATAAGTGCACACAAAATAAATTGTTTTTCAAGCTCGGCAGGATCTTTGTGAAATCTTACTCATGCAATGCTTTTGAACATCAAGTTGCCGTTTGAATTTCTCAATCACACAAAGATAAGTTATGTTTCTCCTTCCTCCAGAGTTTGAAGTCTCCCCTGATGCAGACTCATCTGTTTGCAGAGTGGAGAAGGTCACTCTTAAAAAGACAAAAACCAGCGATTGAACTGAACAACTCACCATGAAAACTTTGAAAGACAATCAAACAAGTGGGAGAAGAGGACAAAATGATCTGTTAAGCCACAACTTGTCTCTTCAAATTTCTTCATCTCCCCATGTGACCTCTTACATATTCCTCCCCACCCCACCCACCCCCAACCCAACTCTTGATTGTTCAAAACCCAAGTTTTACAATTCATGAGACACCAGTCACACTAGGTCTTACACAAAGCCCATCTCAACACTACAACTTCCTGTTTCCCTAGTACGTGTGCCAGTGGCCCCCTGAATGGGAACGCATCTTTGCTATCGCTGTGTTTTGCAGTAATGCCACCTTAAGGTGATGTGAGAAATGGAAACTGCACCTGGCACTAGCAGGTCACTGCCAAGCAATGGTTAAAGCCGCTTTCCAACTGGAAGAATGGTCTGTTTAGCCAACGTTCCAGCCTAATAAATCAGGGACCAGATGTTTTACTAGGAGATCTGCCATTTCTCTGTACAATTCCCTGAAGCTGGTGTTACTACCCAGTCGGGCCTAGAGACAACTCCAGCCACATTGAAGATGATGAGATCTCTCTTCCATAACAGTGATAAGAAACTGCTCTGAGGAAGGGTCACCAGACCTGAAACATTAACTCTGATTTGTCTTCACAGATGCTGCCAGACCTGCTGAGCTTTTCCACGAATAAACTATACTCGCAATCATGCAATAGTCACATTCTCTGATTCAAACTGCAAACATAAAACATTCAGCTTCAAAGAGACATTCTGGTCCACGATTAACTTTCAAACTCCAAGCTTCACTGCTCATTTCATATACTTGTTACCATTTTGCACCGTGGACCCACTTCAACACAAACCCACTTCCCTTAAACAGTGCATCACTGAACGCAGTTAGGAACATAATATTTGTATGATTGGTATTTGCACAAAGCATTTCAATTACCTTCCCAAAAGTGTTCCATCCAAATCCTATTTCTGTGTTCATAAATATCAACATTTGTGGAACACTGTTTGCAGTTTGTGGAGAATTTTGACCAGCAGCTTATTAAGTTTAGCCACAGTTTAAATACCAGCTTTTGCTCATAAAGCATAATGGGGATCATGTGTCATGTAATTGGTCATTTTTGAGATGGACTAAGTTAATCCTGCTCCAATGAATCACTGATTTAAATTCAACTTGATGTCAATGCTATTACACAGCTTAAATCATGCTTTTTTTTCCCTCTTTACTCCCACAGGTTCCTTCTTCCCAAAGTACAAAGCCCCAGAGACCATCTTCAAAATAACATTTTGGCTTGGCTATTTTAACAGCTGCATAAACCCCATCATCTACCCGGCTGCAAACAAAGAATTTAGGAAGGCATTCCAAAACATCTTGAAGGGTCAATGCTGCCACAGGAAAAAGGCATCGTTTCACCCTTCCTTGAGCAACAGTCACAGTACAGAGGGGCAAAAAAATGTGGTACGCATTCCTGTTGGGTCCAGGGAGACCTTCTTCAAGATCTCCAAGTCTGACCGAGACTGTGAATGGAAATTGTTTTGCACCCTGCCAGATCATGGAACAGAGAACAACAGCAGGCATCTCAATGGGAGAGGCAGGACAATTCTGCACTGCTGCTGCACCGATGCCAATGTACCTAATGATGAGACTGGGTACAGTGCACCAGGTTTGAAAACTCATGCTTATTCGGTTGGCGATTACGGTGATCCTGTGTGATCCAGTGGCTCCCGTCTTGACAAGACACTTCCCAGTGGGGCACACCACCAATTCCACAGCTTGACAGAAATTTGCAACTTGGCGTTTCAATTATGTTCATCCATCATCACTACCATCCCCAAACGTTTACTCACCCACTTGCGCACACAATGCTGACCATCTTTGAGAAGCCGAGGTAGGTTCAGAATGATGCTTCGGGTATCGTTGGGATGGATCCCCAATATAGATACGGTCCACTCCTGACAAGATAATCAAAGACAGATTCAGTCATTTGAAGAAAAATTGCACAGACCCTTAACAATGACAGATAATCCCTCAATTTTGCACAGAGTCAATTGAAATGTGAAATACCTGTCGTTCTACACTATTTAATGGATGTTGGTTTGACTTCCCAATTACCTATTTTAAAATGTTGTGCCAACGCATTTCTGATGGGGATTAAACACATTTGGAATTAAATCAAGTGCAGCAAGCTGTACAGACTCAAAGTCCAGGAAAACTCGTTTCCTTTTCAGCGATTTACACGTTTAAGGTAAAAAAAAATTGCCATGTGCATTAAGTCTAAGGTGATGTGAACGTTTTCTAAGACAAGATGATGAACAAAGGTACTTCAAGGGATGATATTTTACTTCACAGTAAAGAGCTCGAAATCCATCACCTTTGACTTCATGACAACATTCAAGTCAAGGTGACAGTTATTTGTTTATTTCTTGGAAATAAATGGCTTTATAAAATAGCACTCATGAGACACAGCAATGACAGAAACTCTGAGATTTTTTGGGGGAAATAAGAATGCCCTGTCTTCACCAACCTCAAATTGTTTTGCAAAATGACAAACGTTTTTACATGAAGAGTATGCCAAACCAGAGTATACAAACAAAATGTGGTTCTTTAGATTGTAAGAAACTCAATGTGTAAAAGTCAGATTGCCAAACGAGACATATGATCTCGTTTTTTTCTCTCTCCTGATTTTGGGTTGTGTTGCAATGCAATGAGTCTGACTTGTTCACTTTCGTGCTTAGCAAATTCCTTCAGACTATTTTCCTCTCCATTGTTTGATCTCTACAGACTAGGTTCTAGTTTCTGCTGATCTGTCCTCAGCTTTGACCATGTTTCAGGGAGACTGAACAGTAGGACCCAAGAATGAATTGCCCTGATAGTAACTGGGTGATTGATATTAAGTTTACAGTCTTTGCACGGAGTCGGATGATGTAATCGACAGCCATGGGACTGGGGAAGGTGGGGGAGTGGGGGGCAGAGGAAGAGAGAGAGCGAGAGAGAGAGCAAAACAGAAATAGCTAACCGACCATTCACATCTTCCAGCGAGCAAGGACCAAGACTGTGTCAAATCCCATTCCACAGATGAAATAGACTGCTAACACTCACTATGAAAGTTCACACATGAAGAACAGTGAAATGATAAAGGACTGCTGAAAATGGCCATGTGTCCAATTAGATTCAAGCACAATTTGTGTAAAGTTTGGCCAGAGTCTAAACAGATGAGCAGACAAACTGGAGTGTTTTAGGAAAGTGAAAAAAGAACTCAGCATTAACATTTACCCAAGCTCTACTTGAAGCAGTTGAGCATTACATCTCGAGAACTATATTAAAGCCCAAAGGAATGCAACGCAGATTTACTAGTATGATGATTGGATTCCATGGATCAACTTACTTTGATAAAGTACACAAATCAATCTTGTAGTCCCCAGAATTTAAAAGGGTAAAGGGTGATTTGTTTCAAGATTTCCATCTAGTAATGGAAACAGATAATATTTCAGCTGGTTGGGGAATTGAAGACAAGAGTGCATAGTCTGAAAATTCAAACCAGCCCAGGAATGAAATGAGCAAAGATTGGTGAAAAAAATTGCAAAATCATGCTATATGAATTGTTAATTTTAAATCAAAAATTCATCCTATAGCCTTGTTTACCCTGGGCTTCTGGAGTTAGGTCATAGAGTTAGATCATCCATGATCTCCTTGAATGACAGCACAGGACCAAGGAACTAATGACCTACCCTGTCTGTATGTACCTGTGCTGAATTTGGCCTCTGGAAAGAAATTAACCCTGCCCCAAATGCCAACTGCACTTGTCACTATGTGGAACTGGGTAGCTAAACATCTTGCAAGACTTTTCTCAATCTTGTCAGACCTGTGAATATGTTTCTAAATTCCTTTCTTGATTCACCCTGTCATACTGCTGCGCAACTACACCATTGACTCCAATCTTTGCATGCTCATGTTATTGCTTTCCTCTGCTTGATTGTTCTTTTCTGACTGTCCAGCTTGGTGAAAATCCTTGCTTCTTAGGTTCTGCTTTCCTCTAACTTCTAAACTTCCCACTTGTCATCACTTGTTCAGTACTTCCTGACTGAGTCCATTTTGCATGCCACTCTGCTTTCTGTCTTTAGTTTCATGTTCTCAATTTAACAATTTTTTTTTAAAAAAAGCACACTTCATCAATTGTACGTTAGACTTGGGAAAAAATGGTCAACTGTGGTCTGAAGACAATGTATTATTAAATAAATAGTTCACAACACATCTACACTCCAAATTCTTTCGATACTGCAAACAATTTTCCTTGGCTTTTAAAAAAAAATGTATGTCTGTATTTGAAAGCACATTTATTTTTCCATCTACCAAATCCACGACAACATGGTCAAACAAAGATTATGCAGCATTTGCTGTTGATCAGGGGATCCCTTGCATAAACTAACTACTGCAATTCCGGATCACTTCCAATTATGGCACCGGAATCCCACTGTTCTCATCCAAAGGTTTCTTTGTTCAAATTTGTGCAATTTTGAAGAAGTTTAATGATCGACTCAAAAATGTAGGAATGTTATTACTTATTCAGTGTAACCTGTGTTACAAATCAGCCAGCAAGGTGCTCAACTTCTTAGATACATTCCAAGTTCCATCAAATTAGCCTCAAGGTGAAATCGATCAATTTTCCCCACCCTTAAGTCTACTTCAGAAATAATGCAAATACAGTCAGCACAGTAGTTGCAAAATAATTGACTGGTGGGAAGGATGTTATAATTAGATTCAGTGCCCTTCAGCTAGTAACAAAGAAACGAAAAGAACTCAAATGTGTATAATAAGCTGCAATCCTGGTCAGTAAACATGCCCACGCTCAATCAGGAACATTTTGAGTTTGAAACACAGGAGGTGGCCCTTTCGCCTATGCTTGTTATAAAGAACCAAACAACTGGATCCCACTTTCCAGCTCAAGCCGCAGACCTCTGTGTTATGGCACTTCAAGTTCACATCTAAGTCGTCATTTAATGTGTGGAAGGTCCATGCCTCCAGTACTTTTTTTGACACTGAGTCCCATCCCCAGACCATACTCAAGGTGAAATCATTTCTCAACTACCCTCAATTCTCCTGCCAATGACAAGGTCAGTTAAGAGTCAACCACATTACAGTAGGTCTGGAGCCACATGTAGGCCAGACCAGATAAGCATGGCAGTTTCCTTCCCTAAAGGACATCAGTGAACCAGACTGGCTTTTTTGACAATTGATACTGGATTCATAGTCATCATTGAAAAATCTTAAATTTCCCCACATCTAAAATTCTCTACCCTGATGACATCCCCAAAAATCTCCTCTGCACTGGGCGACATGAAGAGTTGACTAAATATTTGAGAGCACTTCAGACATAGAACTATATTTCAGTAATGCTCAGTGTCCGTCAGAACAGAACTGAAAAATCTTGGGAAGGCGCAAAAATTGTTGTGGTGGAGCGAACTTCAATGAAATGATCTTCATCCAAAACAAAAAGCAACTCCACAAAATGTAATCATACTGTGAAGATTCCAGAATTGTTTTGACTTATTTTTTGAGATAAGGTAAAATTTGTGGTCTGGCACAAATGGCAGTTTGATGCTGCAATTCTGAGATGAGATAATATTAAGCGAAGGCTATGTAGAGCAAGTTCCTTCCATTATATATCTGCTCGAGGACATAAAACTTGACCCCAATCTGACTTCATTCCATGATGTAATGAATATTTTCTAAAAAGGCATTTTCTACTTAGTGACAGGGAAGAAATTATGTTGCCACTTTTGTTTTAAATTGAGAAAAAGATTTAGTGCATAAATCCTTCCAAACATGTTTTACAGAGTCAAAAGTAGTTTGTGGCGTTGCATGAATAGTCCAATTGCAGCTCAGCCCCTGACATCTATACCTCAAAGTGCAAGGGCTCCTCGACTTCTTTATCGCAAAAAGTGAGACCATCATTTGCACTGTCACTTCCCTCCTGACCAGTTAGCCACTGAGCCAAACTTGCTCTAAAATTAACCCCTGCCCTCATCCCAAACACTCCGTCTCCACCTTAATGCCTTCTCCAAGCTCATCTTGTCCACAGGACTAACTGCCTACACAATTACCCTATTCCTGCTAAACCTCCTGACTTTCCAAGTCCTGTAATGTTGCATTACCTCCCACATCCCGCAGAACTCTGTTTGAATCTATCACATCAAGTTTGGACTCCAGTCAGTTTCAAAATGGTTCTGATCAAAGTTAATTTTTTTCTGTGACTGTGACAAACAATAAACTATTCCCCCTTGTTCTTCTTGACCTGTCTGCATCAGCTTTTGTCACAGCTAACCCCACCATTCTCCTCCAATGCTTCTCCACTCTTATTTAGCTGGCTACACCTGCTGCACCTGAATGCAATCATCTCTTCCATTTTTCACCAAATCTTGCCCCTAAGCAATTCAATCTGAAAACTTAAGATGCCACATATACACATATACTCTGTTCCATGTTGAAGGGCCCGGTTTCTAAGGACTGGCAACTGTCCCTCCATGTGTTCTTTTACACAAAAGAAGGGAAATTCCATTCCTTGGGAGATACACAGCCATACTTCCATTCCCACGGTTCACTCAAAGCCTGGAAATGTTCAGGGAAAGGAAACCACACTCCCTTTCCCCTTCTGACAGCCACTTTGACACCTGTTATCATACCATAAGTACATAAGTGTGAGGAGAGTGTGCTGGGAGAATAAGGTACCAGATGGGTGCAGGAGTAAGGTGCCAGGAGGTTAGGGTGACAGCTGAGTAGCATGACAACTGTGGGTGATAAATCTAGGACACCAGCTGAGTAAGAGTTAAAAGTGTCAAGTTGGTGTGCCAGCTGGGTTGGGTGGTAGAATACCAGATGAGCAAGGGGCAGAATGCCAGCTACAAAGGGTGCCAGATGAGTAAAGGATTGCATCGGGGCAGTGTCAGGTCCTGGGACGAATGGGCTAGGGTCAGTTCTGGTACAATGGTGGATGCAAGGAGGATTTCTGGTTGGGTTCCACGGAGGGGATCAAGTTAAGGCACTTCAGTTGGAGGCGGTGGGAGAGGTGGGCAGCATAGGTCCTATTTGGGTCTGGCAAGGGGAGGGCGAGGTGGGGTGTCAGGTCCAGTCTGCTCTCGTGGACTGGGGCAGAAGGAGCAAACACAAAGGATTCTGTGGGAGATGTACCTAGAGGGTGAGGGGCAGGTATGCGTGGAGTCTGTTGAACAGTTACCCAGACTATTAAATACATAATCTAATCCCCAACTTCCAGTGTAACTAGTTTCCAGAATTCAACTCTGAAGCTTCCAATTTAAATGAGATTGTCGGAGGGCTGCAAGCGTAGAGCAATTTCCCATCGGAATGATTTACTTCCCATGTAAAGTCTTTGGATTCTGCTCCAGTGGGGATTCTGCATGGTGTCTATGCATGACTCCTTTCTGTGCTGGAATGTTGACTGTCTAGCCAGTGAAAAGTCTGGGTGAAGTTCTCTCTTGGCACCCCTACGGTTTTAAAATTGTCCGACTGCTTGTTTGGGCATCGAGTAATCAATAGGATGATGGACGGAAATTTTCTCCAAGTAAACATTCAGAAGGTCACTGCTACTGGCTCCATCTATTTTCATTGCAACTTCGAGACTCAAAATGCCTGCAGTAACAGATTTGAAAATAGTACGAGTCTGACAACATAGCTACAGCGTCACTGATTCTGTTTGTTGCCAATTGTCTAACAGTACCTGCCTCAGCTGACCTACTGCTGAAAACCGTGTTCACACCTTGGCTTGATTGGTCGACATTTTGCCCTCCATACCTTGCGTTACCTCTGCTGCTCATGTCATAACCTGTACAGGTGTTCATGAAACTCCAGAAGTTCCCATTTCAGCAATGTGTCCAATTTAAAATTAGCCTTGTTGTTATCAAAACTGTGGCCTTGCCTCTCGATATCTTTAGAATCGCTTCCAGCCCACCAAAATAAACTTCCTCTAATCTATTGTGGATCCTCAATTCAAGTTGTTCCACTGGTTATGGTCATGCCTTCAAATGCCTACAGCCCAAATTCTTCAGTAAACCTTCCTTAAACACGTCCACGTCTGTGACTCTCTTTGCACTATTCAGATACACCTGCTTTCAAGTGTATTCAAACCCCACAATTTTTACTGCAACTCTAGCCTCTTGAATGGCCTTGACCATATTTGCTCTACCAATGGGGGCTATGTCATCAGCTCCCTGGGTCCAAAGCTGCAGAATTTCATCCACAAACTTGGCTCCCCTCTACCTCTCTCCCCACTCCACCACGATCTTCAAAACCCACATTTTAGTATCAAACATCTGCACTGATATCTCTTTTGAGGATGTCAAGTGTTGTTTAATAGATCTGTGAACCATTTTAGGACATTTTATAATCTTAAGAGTTGCCAACGAATAAAGGACATGGGTGCCTTTGCTGTTCCTGATCCCATGTGATGCAATGCTATGATTTAAGTCCTCAGAAAACTGCCTCATTATTTGAAGACTTCAATCACTGTAGCTTCATTGCAATCCAATAAAAAGGTGCTTAATTAAGTTAGCTTCAAGATCAATATCTTTTGTGCAAGATCAGCACAAAACCTTCTTTCTCCACTAAATAAATTCCAATAATTTTATCATCCTAAAAAAGATCAAAATCAAAAATGAAGACAAATTAAAGAATTCTCCAATTTAGCCACAGTCCTTGAAGATACTGCTCGGGGTTAGGCTGAGTCTGGGTGGGATACTCTTCAGACAGTCAATGCTGACTTAATGGGCCAAATAGCCTCTTTCTGCACCATAGAGATTCTATCATGTTATCAGATCAATTTCCGTGACTCAAACGAAATGACCACCTCCCTTCACAAAGTTGCAAAGCTCGAGAGGAGCATAATTGAAAGGAAAAGGCAAATTCATGGTGAAGCTCGGGTATAAGGGAAGATCACAGTCTAAGTGCAAATCCAATTGACTTGGTTGCAAATGATATTTTCAAAGACTGGCTCAGCGTTTATGCCAATTTCAGTGTTTTATTGTGTTTTTGGGGTTCTAACTTCTGAGATAAAGGACCAAGTTCTGATCTCAATCTCCTGGCCATCAGTAACTTTTATGGTGATAATGCCTTCCATACTGCTGAAGATCAGTCACTTAATAATGAA